AGATAAATTATATTTTTCACTTAAATATTGAAATTTTAACAGCATAATCAAACGGTTAAACAATTTTTTGTTTGGCAAGTTGATATTTAAAGTAAGGGTGAGCAAATAGGTCATGGACCTGCAGGTCGGGACGAGTACAAGCATTCAGGATGGGTTTGGGGTGGGTCATTTATACAAAAAACGGGGGCGAGGCGGGGTAGGTCCTTATAAATTGCGGGGCGGGTCCAATATTTAAGGACACAAGCACACACAAACATAACACATAGACTTTAAGACTTTATTCGAACTAAGATTTTCTCGATCTCTCTTTCCCAATCTAACTTTCACGACTCTCGATTGTCAGACCTCACGACTTCGTCCATTTGTCGTGAGTCAATTCGTCGTTGCTCCAATCTCGTCTATGTCTGTTCTTCGTCGATCAAGTTCGTCACGTTTTCGTCGATCGAGGTCTCTCCCACTTGACCACCTGACCACCATCTCTATTGATCGAGGTCCCTCCCATCTCCATCGATTATGATTTCTCCAACCATCCAAAAGTTGAAAGTTGCAAAGAATCAAATATGCATGAGCAGCACAAATAGTGACGAAGAAGACGATGCAGTGGTATAAGGTGTTTAAGTATAACGGGACTCGATTTGGCCTGGTCAGTTTGCGTTTTCGGGTTTTGGGATTTTGTGGGCGTTGTTGGGTTTTACGGTTCTGATTTTGTGTTGGTTGAATGGGTTTTATGGTTCTAGATCGATGAAGATGACAATGAAGGAAGACAACTTGAACAGTCCGAGTTGCATCTGGGTTTTCTGGTGCCATCTAGCTATTGTTGCATCTGGGTTTTTCGGCGCCATCTGGTTGTGACATAGAAAATGGTTGCTTGGCAACTGAGGAAGACAACTTGAACAAAGTCGTCTATTTTGTGCTGATGAAAAAAAATAAATGTAATAGGAATTGTGGACTCGTCGTGAATCGGGCATTTGAAACGAGCCAGGTTAGGCTCGATTTCAAAACTCAAAATCCCTGTACTTGGCCCGACCAGCCCCGTTACAAACTAAAACTGGTAGGGTCTGGCTCCTCGAAATTTAGGCCTGGCCCAGCCCGTGCTCACCTTAATTTAAACTGGTGATCTAGAAAGTAGGTTGTTCGATCATCAAGCAACAATGCAAGATGACAAGAAAAGAGATGAAAAGTAGAACGAGAAAGTTCTGAGCATCCCTCTTTCTAGATTGTTGAAAAGAATTGTACCTATATATTCAGACAAATGTAAATGTATTAATACAAAATTTATTCAGTGATGATACAATTATAGTAATTCATTAGTCTAGTTCGATGACATCGAAAATATATACATGCTCAAACGATTCATTGGCACGACATGGTCTTATAAGTTTCTTTTAACTTTACAGTAATAGAAGTAATTTAACTTGATCCTAGATTTGTTTCTCAAGACTATGATACGAATCAAGATAGGCAACAATTGCAAAGAAAAGGAATAAACTTTATCAAATACAAAAGAACCCCTCTCAATAAAAAATGAATTTCGTCACTATTCTTCTCATAACTAATCGATTTCGTGACATAACCAAAAGTTTGCATATCCGGATTTCAATTAACACTCAATTAGATGAACGTATCATAATCACAAGAAAAAAAGTTTACTCTCGGTCCGCAAAAACCGTACCCTCCTTAATCTCTCTAAGTATATCCCTCCAAAAACCCTAGATCTGAAAACCCACAGTAGTAAGCCTTTTGCTAAGCCTCTTGCTCCGGCTTAGGGTTCGTGTCAGCCCTTTACCCCCTCAGTCCAGTCCTTACTGTCATCTATTCCTTCCCCTCCCACACACTGCGCCACCATTACTCCTTCGTTTCCCTTACTGATAGGAGCATATTCATGCTACTTAAATGGCTAGTTCTCGTGCATTTACGTTATGTTTCTTTAGTTATTTTAGTCCTTTATGCTTCTTTTGTGTGTTTTCAGGTTCTAAGGGCAAAGTATGCAAAATGATGCCTTTTGGAGCCTTTTGGAGCAAATTAGAGATTGGAATGGATTGCATATGCTTAAAGCCAAGTGGATGGACGAAATTGAAGACCAAACCATTCACTTATCACTTATCAAACCATTCACTTATCACTTATCATAACCATTCACATATCACTTATCAAACCATTCACTTATCACTTATCATAACCATTCACTTATAACTTATCATAACCATTCACTTATCACTTATCATAACCATAACCATACCTTCCCCCTTTAATCCACATGCACTCCCATCCATTTCATCATTGCAACCATTGCAGAAAAAACACCATCATTGTCGTGGCTTTCATGCACTCCCATCCTTTACCATTGCAGCCACATGCATTTCCCCCTTTATCATTTCAGCACATGCACTTCCCACTTCATCATAACCTAGCTGCACAAGCCACCCCACATGTCCCTTTAATCATTCAAACATGCACTCCCATTAATTAAACCATTCACCCACATGCACCATTCAAACATACACCCATTCACCACCAGAAATCATCATTGCCGTGCATTCCCTTTCATTTCTGTCAAAGCACATGCACTCCCACCCTTTAATCACATGCATAAATCAGCCACATGCATCTCCTATCACCATTCCAGATTTCCACCAAGTTCCTAGCTGTCATATTCCCTCCTTTTCACCTATAAATAAGCATCCATTGCAACCACAATTGATTCATTCCCATTCATTCTCATACACTCTTCCATTTTCAGAAAATCATCTACAAACACCAACCATTTCCTTATTGTCGTGGCCTCCCACTTCCATTTTCACCACTCCCCAAACCATTCACACCATCAAACTAACCTTAGACCTTGTGCTACGACAAAGAGGAAGAGAAGCGGGCCTAAATGTTCATACAATTCAAGTTTGAGTTGTTGGAATGTTTAGGTGTTTCTTTTCCTTTGAATTCAATGTTTAATTTCAATTCTCTTTGCTTTGTACGTATGAGGAACTAAACCCCCCCTTGGCTAGGGGGGGATTCGAAATATATGTTTATGCTTGCATTTTGATTTGATTACTTCTAATTGCGTTTCATAAGTTGTGGATTCAATTTGTTTAACTGTTTGATTGATAACTTATTTATGTATGTTTATTGAGAGTACACGCTTAATTTTCATGCATGAATATGACGCTAGAATATAAGTGAGTTTCACCTAATAGTTACGAACTTATATTCACAAGTAGTGGAGGTTGCTTATAAACAATCGCGTTAAACGAATTCTTGGCATAAGTTTCATGCAATCATAGTAACGAATGCCTCGTCAACACTTATAATTTTCATAGAGCATAATGATCTCTCATTGTATCTCTTCTATGCATTCATGTTGAGAACTATTGGAGAATGATTTGAATTGTCGCATGCATCATCCAATTCAATAACATAAGGAAAATTTGAGAGTTAATTAGTGCATCACGGTTAACTTGGGGTGTTGAGCATCATAGTTATTGAAAAGCAATTGGAAATCGTTTTATATGCAAGTGTAACATGTGTGGAGATGAACCCCTTAGCTAGCTTCCATTCCATTCATTAAATCCAAATTCGTTTTAAAATCTGTTCGTTTTACAAAGTTTTAAGTTTTGTTTTCAAATTCGTCAAAAACTCAATCCCCCTTTGCTTTAGTGTCCAACTTAGTTAGAAAGTGTCTTAGTTTGTGTTTCTAAGTGTTTTGATTCATTTTATTACCCAATTTCGTCCAAAGTAGTCAAAGTGCTCAAAACTGCCCAGAAAGTGTTTTTAAGGCAGTTTTGAGTGTTTTGGGTGCTGTTTGAGTCTTTTGGTTTGTTTTAGTGTTTTAAGTGTTTAGTTTTGCATTCTTTGAGTCTAGTTTAGTGTTTTAAACTTTATTTTACGTTTTTGAGTCAGTTTCCAAGTGATTTTGCAATCCCTCCTAATCCCCGGTTAAGAACGATCCCTACTTATACTTATACTACAATTGATAAAAAGAGGGTTTAATTTGTGTGCGTATAATTCTCGCATCACTTACCCCCTCTCACCCACCACCACCCCCCCACCCCGGGTGCCCTGCCTCCCTTCTTCCTGCTTTGCCCTTCTCCCCCTCATTTTCCCTTACCTCGCGCCTCCCACTCCCTCTCACAGTTCTGCAGGTAACACGCCCTCTATTTGACAAAGTTCTTCCTAAGCACGGGCTTCTTTTAGGCAAGATTTAGGGTTGTAGTGGGTTGGATCCACCTTCTACGATTTGTTCTCCTGAGTGGAGACCCGCGATTGAGTTGCCTTACCTGAACATATTTGTGGGAGCCCCTCTGATGGATACTATAGATATACCTAGAAGCGGTGTTACCGGTGTCTTGGAGTCAATTTAGCTGGTGGTTGCCTTCTCAGATTAGTAAGTTTTGTTTAATGTTTTGTGTTGTGTCACTTCGGCGAGTGTTGTTGCCTCGCTATTCCCTCTATCGTGCGATGTGGCCTCGCTATTTAGCAATGACTAATGTGTGCATCTAATGTCTAATTTGTCGATTTTATCGTCTTTTTGTGACAGATTATATCGTTTGCAACTAGTTCTTATGTGTGGTAGTCATGTAAGGATTTTATATTATTTGTTGATTATGCGAATTTCACTCCAGATCAAAAATTGATCATTAGAAAATATGTAGCCATTTAACTACTCTTGTAAATTTAGTTTGTATTAATGAAATCTATCTATCTATTGTTGCTTGTAAAAAAAGAAAAAAATTAAAAACAAAAATTACTAGTCTCTTTGCAACGTGATGGATCACGGGGGCAATTTCGTCAAAAAAGTTTCCCCGACTGTCCTTGGAATCTTCGACCAGACGCGGTGGCCTGAGTCAGCAACAGTCTTTCATCCATCTCATCCTTTCTATCCACATCCATATTAATATTCATTTTTAAGTAAAAAAAAAATTAAATTTATCCTATGAGCAGAACCCACCTGTCCTTGCCCCACTTTTCCCTCCCACTCTGCCCCTATAAATAATTCCTTTCCCATCCTCTTCGTCCAAGCTATTGTAGAAGCAAAATAAACCTTAATTTTCACGACCTTCTTAACCCGGTTGAGTTACAAGTTTTTTACTTTTTTGAAATTCGATTTCAGCTCTCGTCTCTCTAAGCTTCCCATGGATTCCCGCAGTTCCTCTTCTCCTTTTGATTCCATCATTTTCGGTATGCATTACTTGATAATTATCTGGTTTCTCAAGCTCGTAATCAATCTTTGATGACAATAATCACTATCGCTTAATTTGTTTAATTTCCACAGATTTAGATGACACTCTGTACTCTTCCAACCTTGGACTCGGTGAAGCTTGCAAGAAGAACATCGATGGTGCGAAAACAAAAATAACAAAATCAATAATTCAAATTTAATTAAACTCGTAATTTAATATTTAATTTAGTTTTTATCCTTGATTGCAGATTTTCTCGTTGAAAAATGCGGATTCCCAGAGAGCAAGGCGTCCGGCCTTCGCGTTGAGCTTTTCAAAAAATACGGCAGCTCCCTCGCTGGCTTACGAGTAAATTCATCATTAATTTTCTTTTTAATTTTACGCACAATTAAAAATAAAAGAATTTTCTGTAATTTGTTGCTTTCTTTTGTAGGCGTTGGGGTACGACATCGACGCCAAAGATTACCACGACGTCGTGCATGGAAGGCTGCCATACGATCGGATCAAACCCGACCCTCAGCTCCGAGACCTCCTCCGCAGCATCTCGCAAAGAAAAATCGTAAGCTCAAAGTTCACAGAATCGTAGTTTAGTATAATTATTTTATTGTGTGTGAAAATTTAAAAAAAAAAAAAAAAAACCACAAAACTGTAAAATTTATAAAAGTTGGAAAGAAGTAAATGATGAAACATGAACCAATGTTGCAGATATTTACGAATTCGGATCGGAAGCACGCGGTGAAGGTGTTGGAACGTCTGGGAGTGGAGGAGTACTTCGATCGGATCATATGCTTTGAGACAATGAACCCAAACCTTCCAAGTTCGACTCAGCCGGACGAGTTCCCGGTGGTCCTGAAGCCGTCCATAAAGGCCATGGAGATCGCGCTCCGGGCTGCGGAGGTCGATCCTCGCCGCACGGTACGGCCGAGATGTACATTTAATTATAATTTCGTTTGGTTGGTCAGTTTGTTGTGTGATAATATGAACGATGAAGTTGTTAGGAGATTTTGATAACGCGTTTTTGTTGTCTTACAGCTGTTTCTCGATGACAACGTGCGTAACGTCGCCGCGGGGAAAGCTGTTGGTCTACGCACCGTTTTGGTAATTAACTAATTTTTAAAATTTCTGTTTTTAGATTATCTTTTGGTAGTTGTATAAATAAATATTTTATAATATGTGAAACAGTGTTACAATAGTTTGGAATTTTGATCCCCCGCTCATTATTTTTGGTTTTTATGACCAGAATTTTGTTCCACATATAAAAGCACGACCTCCACAAAATTGCTCAAGATAATTATTTTTCAATTTAATTACTAAAATGATTATTTTTTTTATCTTAATTGCCAAAATAATAAGTTTTCAATATGTCATCAACATCAAATCGATAAGTCGCATATTTAATGACTTTGTTCAAGTATATTATGAACCGTTTAACAACTGAGATTTGTACTAATACAAAGAAATTTTTTTATTCCAATTTTTATTTTTCATTAGAAAATTATGTAAAATGATATGCTTGACCTAATTGCCTCATAATCTACTGACCTGTCTCTTTTTTTAATGTTGGAACATGTCACAAGTTTAATTAATTTGCGACTCAAAACATGACAACTCGCACTTTTTGAAACACACTCATAAAACCAATGCCCTTACCAAGCCATCGTCGTAAGCTAAGAATGCTGTATTTCATAAAATAACATGTGGATTGTTTGGCGAGAAAGAATCCTCCTAAATTGGTGTACTGTAAGGTTTTCTTAAAATGGTCAATTTGGTACTAAGTTATCATGTTGTGTTTGGTCAGATTGTATCTTCTTAGAATAATATTGTAAGGTTTTCTTAAAATGGTCGGTTAGGTACTAATTTATATTGCGTATTGTTGTTTTGAAATGAAGGTTGGAAAAACCGTGAAAAGCAAGGAAGCAGATTACGTGTTAGAGAATGTGAACAACATGGCACAAGCAATATCAGAAGTATGGGTGGGAGGAAGCGGCGCAAAGGATGGTAGCAACCAAAGGATCAGCCGCACCCGAAGCGACATCGAGCTCGATTCCGTCCTCACCGCCACAGCTGTCGGAGCTTGACGGAGTTCACTCACTCGTCCACCTTTCCAGATGTTTTTGCTGCTGGCTTTGGTTGGATTTGGGTTAGCCTGTTATGCTTGGGATGTGCTTTTGTACATATTTTTCTCAATTATGTCTAAATGTGTTCATAATATGTCAATTATTATGGGTTGTGCGTATGAGGATATCTTCAAGTGTATATTCCCAATCCAAAGTGTATCTATGCAATGTACCAGTAAATAATAGTCCTTTAATTTAAGGAAAAAAGGTTTATGTAAGCAGTGGATTGACCTAGTAGATAGAGTCAGTTTCCTCTTCAATGATTGCGTTTAGGATTCTAAATCTTTAAGGCCTCGTTTGGCACGCCGTATAAGACCACCGGATAGTGCTAATAATACGGAGTGGATGTTTGGTGAGCTTCGTATTAAATAAGCATCGGATTATTTAATCTGGCCCCACTTTTTTTTATCCCCTTCACACCCACTTGTTTATCCTGTCCCAAACCTCTGTATTATTTAGTCAGGTGTATCTCTCTCGCTCACACTGGCTCACTCTGTCCCTCTCTCACGCACTCTCCTTCAACTCTCTAACATCGCCTGCTATCTCTCGTCTACTTCCAGGTTCGTCTTCGTCGCCATCTTTTCTCTCTCTCTCTCTCTCTCTCTCTCTCTCTCTCTTCCTCCCTCCTTTACACACACACCTCCCACCTCTCTGTTTGCCTTTGATTTCTGACAACAAATTCTTCCAAGGAAGATGATGATTCAAATTCTTCCGATCTGGGCTCCGACAACGAGACGGACGATGAGGAAAGGAGCTAGGCTCCGACGAGAAGGGGTATATCAATTCGGATCTGGGCTCCGATGAGGAAGCGAGCTGGGCTCCAACGAGGAGGGGGACAGGAATTCGAATATAGGCTCCGAGTTCTCGACCCTGGCCGCTACTCCTCTGCAATCGGTCGCCGAGGGTGGGATTGATGCGCTGGGAAAATGGTGAAGAAGGAAGATATGACTGAGAAGAGTCCTGTTTTTTCTTTCTTTTTTTATTTTTTATTTTTTATTTTAATTTTAACAACAATTATTGTGAATTAAAAAAAAAAATTTATAGTCCGACGTATTATCCGATACATAAATTAATCCGATACAATACCAAACGTCTAACTAATTTAGTCAGTACTATCCGACGACTATTTATCCTATCCAATTGAAATAGTCAGTACAGTCCGAGCTGCCAAATGAGACCTAACATTCTCTTAGTTTAGTTTAGTTTAGTTAAATTAAAAAAAAAAAAATTGTTTGTGATTCGATCGAGAATTTTGTAGTGGCAATTTTATAAGGTTTATTTTGTTCTGTTCGTATGGGTTGATGTTTTAGTAAAAATAATATTAAAATATTTTAACTTAAGTTAATATAGTTAGTATGGTTGAAAGTAGTGGCTAGCTGAATAAATATTTTAGGGCTCGTTTGGATGTATTTTAAAATGGTTGAAAACGCTTTTAGAGAAATTGTTTTTGGTTCCAAAAGTACTTTAGGTGATTTCTGCAAGAAGCACAAATTATGTGCTTCTTCCAGGAAGTACTTTAAGTGCTTTTCTGGGATTTACTTGCATTTTAACTAAGAATTGATTCCAAAAATATTTTCACCAAAAATACTTTTAGTTATTTTAAAAACATATCCAAACAAACCCTTAATCATTTGACTAGCTTATATAACAAATATTTAACTTTGTCACAATCAACTTTGAGAAAGTTACCACCTTTATTATCACATATTTTATGTTTGGTTCCCCTAACAAAAGCGTCATGACAACATCAAATTCCTCTTATGGATATATTTACTATCTCATTTTTATATAACACAATTTTAGCGATACACTTAAAAGATTTATGTAAATGTTTGCACACTTTGGGCCTTTCAATATACTTAGTCCCAACATGATGTTGAGAGTTGTCCCACATCGGTGAGGGACAAGGTTTGCTATGTGCTTATATGATCTTAGGCTACTCCCCATATTGTCAATTAGTTTTATGATGGAACCCTAATTTCATCACATGATACTCAAACCGGTGACGTTGGGCGGATCTCCGTATTTGTTAAATGATATAAGGAAGAATCTGCCCATGCCCAATTCAATTTTAAACTCGTTCGGGTAGATTAGAATGGAAGTAAAAACCTGCCCAAACTCAATGTGATATCAACTAGATCATTTACTGAGTTAGGTTGGGTTGATGTCTTATCCACTCATGTCAACCCAAAACCAACCTGATTTCTAATCTAAATTCTCTCATGCACATGTTACTTATCCAGCTTCATATTATATAAGCTAGGTACAAGTTTTGAGATAACTATAATTAAGGTTTGTTGTTGAGTTTTATTTGAACTGTGACATCCCACATTGCCCAGGGGAGTGATCCTTAAATGTATATTCTCATCCCTACCTAGCACGAGGCCTTTTGGGAGCTCACTGGCTTCGGGTTCCGTAGGAACTCCGAAGTTAAGCGAGAAGGGGGCTAGAGCAATCCCATGATGGGTGACCCACTGGGAAGTTGCTTGTGAGTTCCCAAAAACAAAACCGTGAGGAAATGGTAAGCCCAAAACGGACAATATCGTGCTACGGTGGTGGAGCGGGCCCGGGAAGTGGTTCGTCCCGGGTCGGGATGTGACATGAACAACGAATGATGATGTTGCTTTTATGTTTCTTTAAGTTGAAACTTTGATATTCTTTTTGTAATCTTTTTTCAACTTCGCATGGTTGAATAATTAGAAATGATCTCCACATTATTTGAATTTTAACTAGAATTGATGTTGTTGATTCAAAATTTAAAAAATCTTGCAAAATAAGTTGTTATAAGATTAAACTCAATAAAATTAAACAAACCTAAACCCAACATAAGTAAACCCAAACTCAATCCCAATTGAAACTTGAACCCGAATAAACTTGTATGAACCTGAATCCAACCCAAACACAAATTGTGAATGTTGATTTAGAATTGAGTTGACCATCTAACCTGTCCGAATTGTACCGCTACCATATATATGCAATCGAACTTAAATCTATCATAATTCTAACTTGTTTTTTCATTTTTTCTTTGCACTTGAGCTAATCCCAAGGGCTTCTTTCTCAAAAGGTATTTGATTTAAATTCAACATGTCATATTTGCGGAAATCAGTGAACCGAAGGGACCCTAATTAAATGATTCGAACTTTCAGTTGAGGAACGTAACAACTATACAAATAAAAAATTAATTAACCAAGTTGACTGATAAAAATAGAAATTTACAAATTCTTTTTCCTTTAGGAAAAAATTTACAAATTCTTACTTGCATAACATAGACCCGCTATGATTTTTCTATCTGAAACTAAGATGAAAAATCATAGAATTGCAGTTCTTCGTCGGAAAATGGGATATAATAATGGTTTTGATGTTCCACCGGTTGGTATTGCAGGGGGAATTAGTCTTTGGTGGGATGATGGTCTGGAGGTTAGAATCTCTTTTTCCTCCAACTTTGTTATTGATTCGTACATTTGCTTGAATGGCTCTCAATGCCAATTTCGTGTTACGTGGGTCTATGGAACCCCATATAGAGATGAAAAGGAGGATTTTTGGAAGTGGATGATAACTACATTTGGGCCTTGTGATTTACCGTGGATGTGTGGAGGAGACTTTAATGAATTCTTATGGGAGGATGAATAATCTGGAGGAAGAGAAGTCAGAATTAATCGTCCAACATATTTACAGAGTTTTATGAACAAGACGGAATTAATTGATTTGGGTTTTAATGGACCCAAGTTCACTTGGAGAGGTACAAGGGAAGGGCAGATCGTGGAAGAAATAATTGATAGACATTTGATTAATGGGAAGTGGCAAGAATGGTGGCCAAATACAGCAGTTATGCACGGGTTAGGAATGGGATCGGATCACTGCCCACGTATTGTCAATTGTGAACCTGAGACTGCTAGAGGTAAATGCCAGTTTAGATTTGAGGCTTTTTGGACGAAAGAAGACGATTGTAGAGATATTGTAAAAAAGTGTTGGGATGAGGAGTGTGAAGGAGACTGGCTATTGAAATGGCAAAAGAAACTTAACTTATGTTGTGGTAGATTGAAGGAATGGAGCAAAAGAAAGTTTAGACGGAGGAGGGTGCAAATTGAAGAATTAACGGGTCAGTTGGGTGTGCTGCAAATGAATTGGAAGGGAAAATGTTGAACAAATTGAGGTTGTCTCTTTAAATCTTGATAGATTAAGGGAGCAAGAATAAAGTTATTGGCAGCATCGGTCAAGAATTAAATGGCTGCAATGCGATGATGCTAACACTTCTTTCTTTCACTAGTCCACTGTGCAGAAAAGAAGACAAAATAAGATTATGAAGATTAAGGATGGTAATGGGCAGTGGGTCAAGATTGCAAGTCAAATAAGGAAAAGATTGAAGGAGCACTATAAGTCTTTGTTTGCCTCAGATGGGCCGAGAGATTGGGGTTCACTTCTTGATTGTGTGGATCAGATGGTGACAATGGAGATGAATCTCACTCTCGCTTGTCTAATTACTGACAGTGAGATTGAGGATGCAGTATTTCAAATTGGGGGTATGAAAGCACCTGGGCCTGACAGATTTCAAGGCATATTCTACCATTGCTACTGGGATGTTATTTCGCAGGAGATTAAAGGAATAGTCAACAATTTTATGAATGGAGAGGTTAGCCCCAAAAAAATAAACTCTACACAGCTTGTCTTGATCTCGAAGGTTCCGAATCCGAAGTCTGTTGCTCAATTCAGAACCATTAGCCTGTGCAACTTTTCTTATAAGATACTCTCTAAAATTCTTGCCAATTGACTTAAACCACTCTTAGTGACGTTAATTTCTCCAATGTAGAATGCTTTTGTTGCTGGCCGGCAGATTGAAGATAATATTTTGATTGGCCATGAAATTTTCCATTTCATGAAATTACGAAGAACTAAAATAAAGTTTGAATTAGGTATAAAGTTGGATATGAATAAAGCTTATGATCGTGTAGAGTGTGATTTCTTGGAGGAGTTTATGGTCAAGATGGGGTTCGATCGAAGATGGATTGATTTAATTATAAAGTGTGTGGTCACTGTTGACTTCTCTGTTGTAATCAATGGTAGGCTTGGCAGGAAATTTCTTCCTTCACGTGGGCTTCGGCAAGGGGATCCTCTTTCACCCTACCTTTTCTTGTTTGTAAGTGATGTTCTTTCTTTGCTCATTCATTCTTGTTTGTAAGTGATGTTCTTTCTTTGCTCATTCAAAAAGCTATGGATTTGAATTATATTGAAGGAATTAAAATTAGCTCAAATAGTCTAAGTATATCGTATCTGTGCTTTGCGAATGATACCTTGATTTTTCTCCAGGCCAATCAACAAAATTGTAGGAACATTGTTCAGATTTTAAATGCTTAATGTGCTGCTTCAGGCTAGCATATTAGTCTCAATAAATCAAGTGTGTACTTCAGTGCTAGTACCCCAAGAAATGTAAGGGAAGAGTTGGGTGCTATTTTGGGGATGCCAATTGTTGATGACCTTGGTACTTATCTTGGTTTGTCAACAATTCGGGGTAGGTCTAAACGCCAAGCTTTGGGGTATATCAAAGATCGTTTATTAAGGAAAATCTAGGGTTGGAAATAGAAGTTGTTGTTACATGCGGGAAATGATGTACTTATTAAAGCTGTTGCCCAAGCTGTACCAGTTTACCCAATGAATATTTTTAAATTTCCTGCAAGCATTTGTAAGGAATTTGACTCTCTTGTGGCTATATTTTGGTAGGGACAAAATGTTGATGATAAAAAGATCCATTGGGTGAGTTGAGATGTCTTAGCTTGCCAAAACAAGAGGGAGGTTTGGGTTTTCAGGAATTTGCAGGAGTTTAATGTGGCTGTGTTGGCTAAACAATGTTGGAGAATGGTGATGGAACCAGAATCCTTATGGGTTAGAGTTATGAAGGCAAGATACTTTATAAATTCATCATTTCTGGAAGCTAAAAAAGGAAGCATGTCTTCGTGGGCTTAGGCAAGCTTACTGGAAGGGAGAGAGATTTTATTGGGTGGTGCTCAATGGCAGGTGATGAATGGTGAAACTATAAGGTTATGGGTGGATCGGTGGATTCCTTCATTACCAAATGGGCATCCCAACCCTTGTCTGGATTCTAATATAAACCTGAACCAAAAAGTTGCCTCTATAATCCGGCCTTCCTCTCAGGAATGGGATCTTTAACCCATTAGTTCTTGCATCTCTCAGGGGGAGCTTGATGAAATAAAAGATATACAAATTGGGGACCCTTCTTGTAATGATAGATTTATTTGGCCTTTGGAGAAAAGAGGTGCTTATACGGTGAAATCGGGTTATCATTGGTTACATGGTAAGGAGTCTTCTAATTGAAACCGAAATTCCTCCTTAATGGCATCAATCAATAGCCAAGTCTGGAAAAGCATTTGGAAGTTGGAAACCCCTCCTAAAATTTGAACTTTTATGTGGAGAGTCCTTTATAGAGCTCTTGCCACAAGGTTGAATATCTTTAAGAGACGTGTTGCTGCCTCACCAATATGCCCCATTTGTAATGAGCAGGATGAGTCTATGGAGCATATGTTTTTTCTATGCCCATTTGTTGATCTTGTCTGGTTCAGAGGCCCACTTAACTATAAGGTGAATAAAAATGAAATTGATACTTTTAGTAATTGATTACATTCTCTAATTGTGAATAATATGGGCAGTAGGCAAGATAAAACTTGTCTTTTGTCACAAGTGGCGTTCACTTGTTGGAATATTTGGAAAGAGATATGCAATGCTATTTTCAATAAAAAAAGTGTCATTTTCAGGTTATTCACAAGCCTAGTTCTGCCTATGCTATTTTATGGAGGCTACTAGGAGAACTCAAAGGGCTACAAGTGGGAGGCGGACAAGCTCAAACAACCATGGAAATCTACATGGTAATTCTCAACCCACCTCTGCTTGGTCTCCACCTTTTCGGTCATTGTTTAAAGTTAATGCGGATGCTAGCTGGAATGCTACAACAAAGAAAGGAAATATTGCAATGGTAATAAAAGATTCAAATGATAAGTTTGTTGCTGCAAGGAAATCATGTATCTCGGTGTTAAGCGTTCGAGTGGCGGAGGCAAAGGCGATCTTGGATGGGTGTATGCTTGCCAAGAACATGGAGTTAGATAAAATCGTTATGGAATCAGATTCAAAGGAAGTAATTTTAAGTTTAAGTAATTCCATATTCAATGAGAGATGTGACACGGTTCCAGTCTTACGAAAAATTTTGTGTGTGAAGGACTTTTTCCAGATGCGATGGTCCTTGGTGCCTAGATCAGTCAACATGGTTGCTGATCGATTAGCTTCTTCCAAGAACTCGGAGATGAGCGATTATACTTGGGTCGAGAGACCTCCATATCGTTCATATTTTGAACAAGGATGGTTTACCGTGTCCACCTTAAGTCTTGATTTGGTTCGAGTGATTTAGGGTGACACAATGTTATGGTTTGTGTCGGGTCTTTGCTCCATCTTTCACTATGAAGTTGTTTCTTTGGGTTATGTTTGTTGGTTAATCCTTGCTGTGGACTTCCTTGTACCTTTTTGGGCTTTGCCCTGGTTATAAATCCAGTTTACCAAAAAAAAAGATGAAACCCAGTCATCGGCACGCGTTTTGCTTCAACTACAGTCTAATAATCTATGGAAATATTTAACAAATATAAATTAAAATGGAAAACATATTGACCCAAATCATGTCACTGAAGCTGCATTTTAATGAAATCAAATTACAAGAAGCACAAATTATACTCACATAGTCATCATCATGATCTTAAATACATTGTAAATTACACAAATCAATATCATGATCATATGTCATAGACTTGCTTGCCGGTGAACTTGACCTCAATTGGGTTGACATTCTTCCCAATCGACCTAAAGTTCTGGCCAACCCCTTGGCGCCCAGGGTTCACCTTCTCAGGGTACACACCATCCTTGGGGTGCAAGTATTGGACCTCCCCGTTAGGGAAAACCCTGTAAAACTGGTACTTAATCTTGTACTTTGACCTCAGCCTTGTCCCAAGAGCCAAGCACTGCTCTTTCCTAGCCAGTTTCAACAAGTTAGGACCCTCCCTCATGATGGCTGCTCCGCCGGTCGGCATCTCAAAAATCTGCTCCTTTGGTGACTCCCATGTGATCACGTAAAACTCTTCCTCCTGCGCTTTCCTCAACAGCCCGCCGGTGCTGCCGCCAAAGATCGGCGAGGGAGTTGTTGGGTCCAGCTCAGGTGGGGTGAAGCCTACCGGAGCCTCCTCTTTCGTGGGGGTCACGGTTTTCTCTTCAGCGGAGGCATTAATCCTCATTGTTCTTGTGGTGGAAAGCTTGAGGGGCTTGGGGGCCATGAAGGAGGAGGAGACTGATTGCTTCCATGGGGCGGTTGTACGGTCGGCGATGGTCTTTGGGGCTGAGGGGGTTGGGGTGAACAGGCTGGCTTGTGTTGCCATGGCCATGAGGGACTAGAGAGAGAGTGGTATAGTTGTGGGTGGTTTGTGTTGTGTGGTGCGGTAGTATAATTTTTTCCGGGGTTATGGAGATTTTGATTGGGAGTTTGTAGGGATTTGATGTGGGTGGTGAGGATTTGGGTTTGGATAAGGTGATATGGGTTCGGCCAATCAGCACATGTGATTCTGATACGTTGCCCTACCTGTGACTCAGGGCTCATCTTTGCTTTTGTTTCTTCTTTTTGCATATTTTAATTAGTTTGGTCAACTTGTATTTTTTTACCTTCTTTTTACTCTTATGTGGGGAAAAAAATCTGTTAGAATATTGGAAATAAAAAGATGTTAGATGAAGAGTTAGTTGATGAAATAAGAACAATTTAAGCTGTGATCATTTTCATGTTTAAAATGAGGTTATATTGTTGCGTGTTGTGAGTATTAGTTTGTGGATTCTCCAATAGTTTAATCTTTCAAACTGCTGTTTTTATAGGCAGGCAATCAAGCTTCTTCTGCCTTTGAATTTGAGGGCCAAAGCGCTTTTTCTCTACTCTTTGCCTTCTTTTTGCTTTAGGGACGCCTTAACTAATAAAGGATTTCAGATGAAAAAAAAAAAAAAAAAAAATTCTCATGTAACACAAAATCTAAGCTAGAGTGCGTCAAATTGTCAATCCATGTTACTAGCGTAATTGGTTTAACATAAGATGAAAGCTATCTCAGCCAATCAAGTTTCAATTATGTTCTACAATTAAACCAACTAACATGTTATATTGGGGGAGAATGAAATCGAACACTATATCTCTAGTCCAGAGCTGAACTATTATCACTTGCGTCCACACCTTGCATATTATTTATACTTAGAAAAGGACACCTGGATTACTTCTGTTTAATAGATTTTATCCGTAAAAATTGACAAATTAATCATCCAGATAAGTGAGCATTAGTCCCTAAAAATTGGAGTTTTGTCGCTAACAAAAAATTCGTGAATTGGGCATTTAGTACTCGGCGTAGTGGTATTTCGCTTCACTTGTAAGTGAGAGGTTTTAGGTTCAATTCTCGTCAAAGACAAATTTGAATCAAATTATTGCTAGCCTCATTGTGAAGCAAAATCCACTGGGCCACCCCCCTTTAGTGTAGATTATATCGTTGTTCAAAAAAAAAAAAAATTAAGAATAAAAGTTCTAATTAATTTACCCAAAAAGATCAATGCTCCACGGTCTGACATATTTACGACCAAATCATATGACCAATATGCTCAAATATAAGCATACCTATGTACATACATATCTCTAATATTAGAAAGCCAGAAGTGAGTTTTGGTGTTCAAGGCTTCACAAAAAAAAAATTGGACATAAAAGTCCCTAAAACAAAAAAATTCAAACCTTACAGAAAATAATAGAACAAAATTCGTAGGGATAATTTTGTCATAAAAAAATAGATACAAAAAAACTAAAACAAAAATAAAATTATTGGAAAAGAGATCGAATAATTTCAAAACAAATAAAGAAAATAAATAATAGAGACATGCACATTCTCATCCCACGTTCTACCCACGTAATTGATCAACCTCAATTGCAAAAGTCGTTTGTTGATCAATGGGCATTTATAAGAACCACCCTCACGTCCATACGCCCACCCATCTTTCTATGTGAATCACAGTTATAATTTTTGTGTTTGTAGGGTTTTGTTGCGAAGCCGGAGACTTTACCAAATGAAATAGTTAATTTGATGGTGTGGCATTGCACGATTCATGAAGTAAACGCTATAACTTATAGGGCACTATTAATTTAACTGTTTTTAGAATTTTTTTTTATGGTAATATTTTCACTCAAAACTAAATTAAGGTTAAAGAACTATGATGACATGGAGATGAACTATAACCTGGTGTTTGTAATGCCATTATCCATTGGAGCAGGCGATAATTGCAAAATGTCTCTGATAAGGTCCCGGCCACCGACTGCAAAACCCGAGACTTGGCGGTTTCTGGTGAAATTGGGGGTGTCTGATTTGTAGAGATGAAGGTTTGGAGGGTGGATATTAGTGCCGATTTATGTTTTTATTCGCATTTTTCTTCTAATTTATGTTTTTAACATCAAATTTTTGTTCTTTTCGCGTCTCCAAATTGGTGGCTAATATATGGGTAGGTTGTTTTCTTGCAGTTCTAATTTCATATATTGTGAGGATGAAAACAATTTAAATAAAGAGGGCATTCGACATTTCATTTAAGAGCTTCTCTCAACATAACATTATTCGGTAAATTCTAATATCTTATTAGAATTTAATATTGTTTTGTATTTCTGTTTTTTTTTTTTTGGTCCACTTTTGTTTGGGCTTGCAGGAAGTAAAGGACTCAGAAATATAGCAACTCACCATTCAAACACCACTATAAGTCTACAACTGCACATTGCAGCTTGAAACAAAATCTACTCTTCCATTCTAACCTCTGGCCAACATAAAACTCCTCCCTACATGACTTATTGTGACAACCCGTTCCTAATTTTACTATTTTATAAATTTTAAAAAAGTTATTTGACGAAAATATCCCTAGAGGCGAGATCATTGACTTTCGTTAATCGTCATTTCGTGACGCGTATGGACTATTATTTTATCGTATTCTCGAAGTACTCAACAGTACATGTCACATCCCGGCCCGGATGACACCACTTCCCGGGCCCGCTCCACCACCGTAGCACGATATTGTCCGCTTTGGACCCTGACCACGCCCTCAAGGTTTTGTTTCTGGGAACTCACACGAGAACTTCCCGATGGGTCACCCATCATGGGAGTGCTCTCGTGCGCTACTCGCTTTACTTCGGAGTTCCCATGGAACCCGAAGCCAGTGAGCTCCCAAAAGGCCTCGTGCTAGGTAGGGATGGGAATATACATTTAAGGATCACTTCCCTGGGCGATGTGGGATGTCACAGTACAAATACATAGGCGCAAGCGGAACTAAATTTGGAGTTACGATGAAGACAAATTATGGAGCATGATGGGCATTTTGATAAATTCACGTTACGGGAGATATTTTTCTGTATTTTCATTGATGACTGTTGAGCAAAAATTGTAATAATATGTAAACAAATAATTCACTCGACACGATTTCACCCTCGTTCATTTTTCCGAAGAGGGTTTTATTAATTTGAGTTCAACCATTCTAGACTATGCGTCTCATTTTTCCAAAAAGGGTTTTATTAATTTGAGTTCGACCCATTCTAGACTATGCGTCTATTAATTACAATCCTTAGTTAAGAATGAATTCCAATATGAACAAATTGTAACTTGGGGATTTGGGTGTTTGATTTTGCGACTGCACCTAGGTCAAGCCCTAGATTGCCTACGTATCCTCGTTGAGGGATTAAGTAACTCGTAGTTCTTTATGTATTTTTATTTATTTATTTTTACTTTGTGAAAATATATGGTTCAATAGTGACTTTGAGCTGTAAGCCACATGGGGCCCACACCCCTACTCTTTCCCTCTCTCCTGTGTCTCCCAATCACCAGAAATCCCATTTTTTTTCCTACTCTCCACTCATTTGCTGCCACCTCATCTCTTTCCCTCATTTCACTCCCTCTCATCTCTCAGCTCTGTCTCGTGTCTCTCTATGCAAGTGCAAAGAAACCGCAAATACCACCCTTGCCGTTTCGGCGAACACCACTACCACAAACCTAGGCTAGTCATGAACCATCGCTAACTGTCATGATTTCCTCTCCCTTAACCCTCACCTCTCTCTCTCTCTCTCTCTCTCAGTCGTCCTCCTCATCTCTGCAATCATGCAGACAAGACAACGACGGAGCATCGCCATTTTTCGTTGAAACCATCGGAACCAGACCACAAACCTCGAAGAGAGATCACCATCGCTGTCATCTAGTCAGTTCAGTGCACCCTGGTTCGAGATGTGGTTGCACAGTGGCTTTTCCCACTGTTCATCATCTCGTCTGGCGATACTTCACTATTTTCTAACCAAGGTAGGCCTTGGGAACCCCCATTTCTCGTCATTTTCATCGTTTGTGAAAGATTTTAAGGTTTTAGGCCTTTGTTATAGGGTTTGGGGATAGAAACCACTAGGGGAAACACTCCCCAGATTTTTGGCAAGAAACCTGGCCATTTGCAGGCTTTTTCCAGCCGATCCCGACCTCGGCTCGACCTCACTTTGGTATATTTCGATTCCTTAACTCCTAAGCTTTACTTTGGCCTTTGAATTTTTGAATTTGGTTTGGAATTGAAACCGTTATAGCCCTTTAAAGTTTTCCGGCTATTCTCACCTGCGATTCCGGTGTTCTCCTTCTTAGAAAACCAGTCAACCCGCAAGCCCACGGATCAACCCAACCCGATGCAAAAAAAAGAGCCTTAAGCCCAAAACTTGATCCAAGCTCGGCCCAAACCTTTGGGCCATTGTTCTAGCCAACCTAGTTTTGAAATGGGCTCAGAATATTCCTGGAATATTCTTTATGTTGACATTTTCGAGAATTTCTCGGAAACCCTTCTAGGCTAATTTCAACGTCTCGAGTCCACTTTTGACATCCATTTAGTGAAATTCTAAAGTTTTAACATGGTGGACCACATAGGTGTCTCAGTTGACTTTTTACAAAATTTATCGAGGAACCCTTCGTAGCGTATTTCAACGCCTTGATTTCAAATCCGTACCCTGTTTTCCCAAATTTAATTGTCTTAGTGGAGTTTTACTAATGAGTCCCATTATTCTGTTTAGGTGTGATTAGTATGAAAGACTTCGGCTTCCTAGCTTGGACGAATATGAAATCGTAAGTAACTGTGATTGGGTCTTTGCCTTTAAATATTATATATTTATTTACTTTTCATTTATACATTTGAAAAAGGATTCCCTACATATGCTTAGATTAGACTAATGTTTATAAGAATTAGTGAAATAACGGAGATTACAAAATTATCATAAATCCTACGGGATGCACATATATGCATACTTTTATGGGATTTTAATTACGACCTTGATTAATATTTTATCTATTACTATTAGGTCGATGTGAATTATCGAATCATTGTGGCATGACTATATTTATGTTATCTGCTCATCGTTTGCTGCACCGGTGTTAGTACTCACCGGTCCAAGGCCAATCTTTTACGTGTATGTGCACAAGGCACCGTACGCTCACTTTGGATCCATTGTAGGTGCCAGTCGTGTCCTAGATTGCTATAGGCAATTAGGACTCGTATGTGCTACCCATAGCGCCAGTCTTCGTGTGACTTTAGTAGTAGAACGTATATCATTGTTACACCCAGTCATGTTCATGTCAGAATATCTTTGCATAAACTTGTGTGTCAGCATGTGTTGATGAGCACTCGATATGATATGTTTGCTTATGCGAGATTATGTGATTACGAACGTCATGTGTTTACTTACGAAATATTGTGTCGTATTGAATTCTTGAGATATTGCAGGCTACGGTAAGCATTTTTATATCATACGTAGTATGTATATTTTGGAAACTATACTTGTTTTACAGCGAGCGTTTATTATGCTTTCGAAAAGGTTTTTACAAAACTTTATTTTTAGGCCTACTCACCCCTATTTTTCGTCCCTCCAGGTTTTAGTGGCTGAGCTTTCGTGTCGCAGAGGATATCTGGCAAAATGTTATTGTGGGAATACTATTAACGGTATAATTCCTCTTTTACCTTCACTGTACTTTACTTATGCTCTAACATCCTGTGTGAAATGGGTTTATTCCCGCTCACATGCACACTTTTACATTTAGGCATTTTAGGTTTAAATTTATTCACATTTTCCACATCACTACACTTTATGGCTTTGTCACCTTCATAGTGTCGCCAACATAGCTCGATTCGGAGTCCAAGTGGAAATCCCGGGTCAGGGTGTGTCACTTATTATGTAATGTTGCCATTAATGCATCCAATCATCATACAATAAGTTGTTTAGTAAAGATTATGTTCTCTATTTTTAAACACATAAAAACAATTTAAGGAATGCGTAGCACTCATAATAAAAAGAAAAAGAAAAAGCCTTTTGCATGCACAGCAGTGCGTGCAGGAAGGCTAGTACATATTAGAAAGCCTGAAGTAAGTTTTTTGGTGTCTCAAAGCTTCACAAAAAAGAAGTAGACATTAGAGCCCCTAAAACAACAAAAGTTATAACTAAAGTAAATTATGAATCTAAATGTTCCATGGGCATTTGTGTAAATAAAAAAACCTTCAAACATGGGAAAAGGTCCTAGAAAACTGCACCACATTTCATACAAAACAGTTTCCCTCAAATAGTGTAACTTCCGTAAATCCTATTTCAGACCTCGCACTTCCTTGGCAATTAGAACTTAGAACCCTATATGTATATTTAGCCAATTGGTAAAATTTAATTGGCAATACATTGCAGTGGAAGCCTTTTTACTGACGTTTTTCATGTTATTTTGGCATGCTTTTTTAGCATTGGGATTTATCGAGTTTAGATTGCAGAAAGCGAGGATAAGAGAATAATTAGAGCGTATGCAATGGTGTTGGATACGTATGAAGAAGAAATAGTTTATTGAGTTTAGATTGCAGAAAGCAAGGATAAGAGAATAATTAAAGAGTTTGCAATGGTGTTGGATGCGTATGAAGAAGAAAGAGGGAAGAAATCCGTGATTCCCATATCTGAAAGGTACTACAATTTTCAGTTTTGAAATGTTGCGAAAAGTTATTAACTTTCTACAAGCCAATACCAAATAGTTAATAAGTTGTGTTTTATTATAATGCTTTAGGTTCATGGCGATGAAAGCTACTATTGACAAACAATTCAGGTTTGAAATCTTTTGGTACCAAATTTGGTTTCAACATGTTCCAAATTGACATTTTTCTTAAAAACAGTCCAGCCGGCGTTGAACAGCCATTTGATTTCGGGTCATCTGAGTTTTTTCTTTATCGTAACTGAAGAAAGATACAGGTTGTTGTTTTGTTAATGACGGTGGATGATTTAGATGAAAGTATGTATCTTGGGAATTGTTTTGCTTTCAGTTGTTTAGGCCCAAACTGAAGAAGTTTTGTGGAATGAGATTCTTATACCAAATTGCTTCTCCGTTCATTGTAGGCAATATAAGATTCAATTACTTTTCTTTGTTTATATGTCTCCGTGAATTTTCGTGGATCAATTAATTACATATTTATAACCTTCATAGGTGGTTCAACAAGTAGGTGATTTCTTTTTGCCCAAGCTTGAGTACTCTCAAGATTATTGCTCAAGTTACAACCCAGGGCAATTTGAAGACTATTTCTGAAGTATGACATGATCTCCTCTTCCATTCTCTATTAATTTTTATTTTACTAGATAAAAATATCAATCCTTGCAAGTGCATTATTTCACTTGAACAAATGTTTACCTGTACCAAAGGATGCAAGGCCAGCAATACTGGGGATGTGGAGTGAAGAGCAAGCCTAAATACTTTCACTACTTTCTTAAAATTGTCATTAAAAATTGCCGTGTGCAAATGCATGAAATCCTCACTATTTGTAGAGTCTAGCAGTGGTACGGGCAGTAACAGTGACTTCAAACCCTCTGGTATGGAAACAATTTATTATATACAAGAAAGATTTGCTTTCAGATTCAATCAGCTATTATAAGAATATGAATTGAATTCCTTGGTGATTTCACAGTAATATGATATCATTTCCAACTTTATTGTTGTCTTCCATGGGAACTAAGTCTCTTTCTACATGGTGTCATTGTCCCCTAGACCTAAGAACGCCTTATCCCTTAAGCGCAAGTCCACCCAAGTAATGCAATAACTATCTAGGCAATTGGGCAAATAGTAATTGTCTGCGTGCATCTCCATTCCGTACATAAATTACGTCGTTAAGTGGTATTGAAAAAAGAACTTTATTTTTCTATGAGGGGTAAGGTTCTTGCCCTTCCGCTCTTTGTTGTATTTTTCTTTTCTTTGTTTAATAAATTTATTCTCAACATTGTCTTTCTAGGATAGCAATGTTAAAGTGGATTTGACATCATTGCTTAATTAAAAAAAAAAAAAAAACGTAATGTACACCTTTTTTTGTTTTTTGCTTAGTTCAGGAGCATTTTCCCTACTAAATTCCTAACTTGATGAGGCACCAACATCAAGATGGTCATATCCTTGTTCATGTTCTACTTACGTCTTGAAGATGTTAAGTACCGACATGTTGCATTTACTCACATTTTCTTCTTAAACTATGGGTTTTGTCTCTTTCAGTTTTACCATAGCTAAGTTTTGGTGAGACTTACTCATGTATGCATTCTCCACTAAAGGCTATGTTTGCTACTTGTGCCGACTAGAGGAGACGACTCTATCAACTACTTCTACTTCATCCATGAAGATCTGATACGCCATCTACTTAAGTACTTAAAACACTCAACGAGGTGGATAAAAGTCAATGACCTTGATAAAAAAAAAAAAAAAAGGAAGTGGAATAAGGTTTCAATTAATGAGAAAAGAAAATGAGGGATGAAAACCTAATTTATCATTTTTAATACAAGTGTTAATTTTGAATACGCGTCCCAAATTGTTATTAACACTAAGCTAGATGCGTTCATAGTGCTATTAAAAAACAAGAGCTGATTATATTTTATACTCTTCAAGTTCGAGTTGATTTTCAAAATCGGCCATGAGATATAAGTTTTGTCACATTGCACCATTTTGAAAATGTTTCAACATATACCTTTTTTTTATAACATATACCTATTTTTTTAACATATAATCCTTCATTAAATTAATTAGGTTTTTTTTATTTTTTTATTTTTTGTTAATGGTACAAATGAAGCTTACTTGTTAGCCTATATAAAGGTCTCATTCTCACTATTTCATCAATTTAATGAAGGATGAAAAATCAATCTCAATCAAAAGCGTAACTTGATATAACTTCAATACCTTGTGATTAAAATGATAAAATCGAAACTTCGTGGCCAATTTTGGAAACCACCCATACATGAAAGGTGTGAAATATAGTTAACTAAAATAATCCATGATAAGTCAAGCATTACACGTTGCACATGCAACGAATGGATGAGTGGCATGAAACAGGGGAGAATCATTGTTAATTTGGAAGTAGAATACTGCAAATGCGACCGGTTGTGGTTTTCTGCTCCAAGTCCAAGCCCTCAAGCGATGAACAGCTTCAATCTTTTCCAGTTCCCATTGTATATGGACTAAGTCTTCTCTCTCACTCTCTCACTCTCTCTTTTTTTCTTTTTTTCTCTATGCGTTTGAAAGTGTATTAGAAACAACCCATGTTTGCTTCTTCCTTCGTTTTTTCCATTGAAATATATTTTCCATGTTCTATTTAGCCATGTTAATGCAGAATTTTGTACCGGTTCGTGGTTCTGAATTTGTTATTGTCATGTTACATGGAATATGGGTTTTGATAGGTTTTCTTGGTATAAACTGTCAAATTCCATAGAGATGGGCCAACTGTGGAACACCAATACTGCTCAAACTAACCACCTGTTAGCCCAACGTGAGTAAGGTTTTACCATAAAAGATTAGGAATGAAACCATATATGTTATATATTGTAATTTATTGATGTCAATTTTTCTTGTGGGATTTTCGACATAAACCTCGGAAGAAAGGGAACTGTGAGTGAGTGAAAAAGAAAAGACATATATACAGATAAGTGTAATGTAAAAGATGGGAATTGGGGAGTTCAAAAATGACTATTAGAGCAAGTAATTGGATTTTCAATGACATGGTGGGTGAATTTTTTCTTTTCAAGATAGCAACATTGTCTTTTATCTTCTCATAGTTGCTTGTCACACTAATATTTGCTTGTTTTATTGAAAAGCTGGACCTGCATCTGAACTTTCATAAGTTACTTTTTTGAGTCTTTTGTTGGCAAATTAGTGACAGTGTTTGCGTCTGGTAAATGCCATAGCTGGTTAATAGTGTTCATCTTTGGGTTGTTTCTAGCTTTGATTCACAGTTACATTTGGCTTCAAAGTTATATAATAGATATTGATGGAAAAACAATAATTTGAGTTCGAGCGAGGCACAACCAGTAAGTTTCACGAGTTCTTGATTTCAGTGAAGCGTATGTTTACAGCTGCACAACTCATGCACATTACTAAGATAGTGCAGTCTGCACCATCACTTAGGTACAAGATTATGGAAAAGAACATGAGAATTACAAAAAACCTATTTGGTAGTCTTTCACTCCCATTGTACGATGTCACCCTAGAATTACTTCGAAAATATTCATCTAGTATACAGATCAAAAGGTTCAGATTGAGACACTGTTGGGAATTCCTTTTCCAGTGAGTCCACCCTCTCTACTCTTGTCTGATGTGTTAGGATATAGCAAGGTATAAGGCATGTCTACAGGCCCAACTCTGTTCTTCAATCTCATATCCTTGTTCCTTTTATTGATTTTCTTTTCGATGTCCATCAGCTTCTCTCCAAATCTTGCAAATGCTGCTAGTGCTTCAGCATCTGAAGTCCACTCAGGAGTATCGTTTTGCCCAAGATAAACCTCATCAGTTGAATGTCGTGATAAAATCTCTATCAGAGATACACCAAGGAGAGTTTGCAATTGAGCTGTAATTGTTTTGAGGAAAGCTGCGTCAGGGTTGGACTCAAGCTCAGCATATTCAGCAGTGCCTGCCTCAGGCATGAAGCGTCGGCTTACAGTTGGGCGGTTAGGGAGGTAACCAGCATAAGAGTATTGCCCGAAATTGACAGCTGCATGGAGGGCAGAAGCCACCCATATAATTATGGTACATGATTCAATAAGTTCATCTCTTGTTTGCATCTGAGGCCACCATGGTTCATTCTTCTTGTCACCATGGCCTACATTGCGGAGCTCTGTCCACCAGTCCTGGAGTTCAAAATCACCTTGGACGGCATCATCTGATTTATAGTACAAACAGCAGTATTCATCAACCCAAGTTTGAATCGCCGACCAGATTTCTAACCCATCAACAGCAAATGGGTAATCTTCAATCAGAAGTCTGAGGCCATGAGGACAGGTCTCATCTAGAACTGCCATTCCTCTGAAATAGACCAGAAGTGAAATGATATTCAGTTTGATGGAAGTTCAAATCTTATTATTTTCAATTTAGGCTTTCTGGCTTACCTCTTGCATAAGTCAGCAGGTAATGCCTGGTCGGTGAAGACCCAGCCCTTATAAATAACGGCTGACATTTCCATGGAGAATCGACCTGGGAAGACTGTTTTCTCAAGTACCCCATCAGCATTGATGAGGATTTGCCTAGCCAGGGCATTTATGTTCATTGTGTCCCGGAAGTGCGGATGCAAAAGCTTATGTATCGGGTGAAGCACACTCAACTGTCTATGTGTTGCAATCACAAATGGCTCTATCACAGCATGTGTGTTTAACCTGCAAATAACAATTATTAGCATGTAAACTAGAACCAAACTGCTACCTGATGATAAAATATGGCGCTTTCTATGTTAGACATCGTACCAGTGGCTGATAAGCTGATGATATCCAGAATCATTTACAGCAGCATAAGCTTTCGCAAGCTGCCACACCGACTCCTCGATGCCTTTTTTTCCTTGTCCTGGTGGAGTGAAAACTGTACTGACACAACCATGATGGTCCCCTTGTGGATGTGGTAAGCTCAACTCAATTGCCAAAGGCTTTAATGTCCCGTCTTCTTGGAGCAAGAGGAGAGTTCTGGTGGCATACGTCTTTGTGTGCGTAGAGTTTATTCGCCTTAGGTATATCATTAATGGATCATGATGATCTAATATGAACAGTCTGTTACTTTCAATTGCCTGCGCAAAACGGGACAAAAATGATTATTTCAGTTCACAGATTTAAAAACATGGACTATAGTCGTATAAAATATATACTGGAAACAAATGAAGCATCATTTGTACCTCATTAACCGTGAGGCCATTCATGTTGCTTGCAATGTGCTCTTCTCTTATCGAACTGTGTTGATTCCCGTACAATTTTGGGTCTAGCTTGCTAACTGGGGGAAACTCCTGTAGTTAAAATTTCGGTGATTATGGACAACTTAGAATAAATCCATGCCACTATAATTGTAATATGAACCATGGAAAATGGTATATTTTACTTGGAGGCGGGTGATGTTAACAGGGTTCACCCCTGCTAGCATTTCTCGTGCAAACTCTTCGTCTGTCCTCCATGCAGACCTATCTTCTGCAATTATATCAGGAAAAATTCATAGTTGAATACGATTTATGTTCAACAATATAGGAATGTAGCATATCTAAAACCATGTCACAGGGGAAAAAAATATCTTTATGTACTTTTAATCACATCAGGCATTGGAAACTTGAGAAATCGCTCGCCATCTGAGCGAATCAGTTCCTTAAGCAGCTCCCAAGGGATGCACTCCCGTATTTTCTTGAGAGTAGGTCCATTTGGTAGCTTGATACCTCCGTCATAGAGATTAAGTACATCCTCAAAGGTGTCAAACTCGTTGATAGTTTTATCGCACAAAGACTTTAGTTCTGGAAGCAATATTTGAACCAGGGATTTCAGGCCATAGGCAAGAAAATCTGAAAACTTCACGTGGCCAAACCGCTCATCTCTCGGAACGTAAATGTCTAGACTTAGAAGCGGCAGTCTGCTCTCGAAATTGGGGTCTGTACAAAGCATAAGAGAAAATTGGTCAGAGATAGAACCGTAAGGAATGCTTCATGCTGTACGTGTTGTCGCCCTATTTTAACTTAGTCAGGACTTGATTAGCAAAATGAGCCATTTAGGTTACGTACCGGTTTTAGTTGGTTCTCGACCAGTTCTTCCTCTTCTTGGATATGGATACTCG